CTTTTCTAGGTCAATTAGCACATTTCAATGTGCCAATTAGCAAGGAGTGAGTTTCTCAAGGGTTGGTGACAGCAAAGTTTTCCCTGCAGCCCACATGGGGACAAGGTGTGTACATTACAAAGATGCAGGCCAAGAATATGAAGATAATGTTCTTGAATGGTAGACAGACACCAAATAATGACAAAGGCATTACTAACCTCTTCCATTTGGGCTGAAAAAATTGAGATATTCAAAAGAACCATCTGACAGGGAAGAAGAACTGGGCAAAGACGGAAGGGTGGTAAGAGGAGAATAAAGGAACAAATGTATTTGATCAACAAGGACACACAATAACGGGCAATTTCAATAATGAGATAATATACTGAAGTCTTGGAGAAGAAAGAAGCTTGATAAAAGCATCATTATTACTCCTCTTAAAATTCTAGTAGAAGACAGATGGCTGCGAACATAAATACAGGCTAGGATAGTGTGTTCTGTCTGAGAAGGGGGCTGAGACAGTATCGTCTTTCTTCTTTTTCTCAGAATACTTTATTAGGGTTAGATGACAAAGGGTGAAAATGACAGGACGAAGGAGGCAACATGAGGCCAGCATCACACATCATAGCCAGATGTATATGTATATATACATACACACATGTATATTTAAATGCATGTATATATTTGTGTGTGTATATGTGTGTGTGTGTGTGTGTGTGTGTGTGTATATGTATGTATATGTATTTTTTTGGTTGGGTCGTGGGGCCTGAACTCTGGGCCTGGGCGCTGTCCCTCAGCTCTTCAGCTCAAGGCTAGCACTCTACCATTTGAGCCACAGCGCCACTTCCGGCTTTTTTCTTTTTGCTTATGTGGTGCTGAGGAATAGAACCCAAGGCCTCATGCATGCAAGGCAAGCGCTCCACCACTGAGCCACCTTCCCAGCCCCTATATATGTATTTTTTTGCACAGTCAAATGCACCGATATGAAACTCAGTATAACCATCTAGACGAAAACCTCATGACTATAACAATGAACTCAGAGTATACTGTACATCTGATTTGAAAGCTATGAACTATTGACAGCTGGACTATGGAGACCTTAATTTCCAGTCCATAGATAGGCTTACAACAAGCAAAGTAAGAGGGAAGGGAGATAGTCTGTGTCAATCCTGAGACTGTATACAAAATTATATATTTGTGGGGGTGGAGATGTAGCTAAGTAATAAATCACTTGCCTAACATATGTGAGGCCCTTGGATCCATTGTTTGCCTCAGAAAAACAAAATATGTTGTTATGTAGTTTTCTGCAGCTACTCCAGGAGCCTATGAGCCAGTACTTACAGAGGGAATCTACAAATGGCATACAAGCTCCCATGACTCTGTCATGGAAGAAGAAAAGGGCTTTGATGTCACAGGAGACTTAGGTTCAAGGCTCATCCACCCAGGCTTCTTCAGCAACTCATTTGGGTCAATTAGATAGTTGTTGAGCTCTCTACTAATTTAATAATCAATGGACCTGTATTGTGTTTCTCCTCCTTTCCTTCCAACTAAGAAAAGGACCCAACGTTGGAAATCAGGTTGAAGACACTTCAGTAGAAAGAGGCCTCAGGCATCCTGACTGTAAAGGACATTTGTAACACTAAGGCCATTGAATACATGGGTCTTCTTCAACCTAGGGTGTTAGTTTTAAACACACAGAACAAGGAGAAACTGAAACCTGGGTATTTTCTAGCTGGTCTGCAAATTTCAGTGGTAATGGGTCATAGGGAAAAAAAAAACACATATGGAAATTGGAGCGATGGCTCCAAGTCTTTTAGCTAACTGCAGCAAATTCTCTAACTCCTTTTACTGTTTTTGCATATTCGAGTGTATGTGTGAAGTTTATGTATGCTGGTGGAACTAGCACACCAACTAATTAGTTTTATTTTTCTGGCTTCCTTATGACTACTAATTAGAAAAAAAAGGATTAAAAAGGTAAAGAGCCAAGAAGGAAGGGCAAAAAAATTCAAAAGCTGCCTTCTTGCTTAATTGGATCATGAGATTTAAAAAAAAATGCCTATCTTCCCTGTCTCATTTTAAGTAAACCTGAGCTCATCAAGAAAGGAAAGAAAGCAATCTAGAGTAGCAAGAGAGAAACCATGTTCTCTATGAAGTAGTACAGGTGCTTAAGGAACCTCTAAATTCAGTGCTCAAGTCCTATTCCCAATATGAATGCCTTTGGAGATAGGGTTTTCAAAGAGAGGATTAAGTTTAAAAGAAGCTATTAAATGTGCTCTAATATAATGTGATAAGTATTCTTTTGAGAGAGAAAACTGACCACACAATAAATAACACCAAGGTGTGTATGCAGACAGATGTTGGGGAGGAGGCAGTAAGTAGGTTATCTCTATCAAAGAGAGAAGTCTCAGGGGAAGGCAATCCTCTCATATAGTCTATTGTCTTAGAGATATTAAGCACTGCTGTACCTTACTTCAGAAGTTTATTATTATTTAGTAAAATCATCTATAAAATATTTAACAGCATGTGGTACAAAATAAACATTCAAGAAGTAACAGGTGAGCTAAGCATGGTGGGCATACCTATAATCTCAACACTCGGGAGACTGACACAGGAGAATCATGTGAGTTCAAGCTAGTCTGGGATACATAAAAACGAAGTGGCAACTGATGATGTTGCTACGGCCATTAAAGACCCAGGGCCTAAGAAAACACCAGTAAATCCAGGGAGATATGAAAATGTAACCATCAGCTCCCTAAATGACTAAGGTATGAGACCACACCCCCTGGGGCCTTTATTTTTTGTATTTATACAACTGGAATCTTAACTCCTACTTCTATGCTCAATGGCTATTAAGGAGAAAGTTACTTGGCTTTCACTGGGGGGAAAGGTTCACAGTAATAGAGGAGAGAAGGCAGACTGTCCAGAGGAACTGTATCCTCCTCAACCAATGGCAGAGACTGTTCTGTCAGAGTTCTAGGCTGGAAGCAATCATATTCTTAATCATTGGCCAGTCCAGGAAGTGATTTTCTGCTAGGCCCCCTTACCTTGAATCTGATAGGGCTGCTGAAAATGAAGAAAGCAGCTGTACTCTCTGCTGAGTAAATGGGAACAAAGTGAGTGGAGTGATAACACAAATAGCAGGTTGCCTCCCCAGGCAAGAAAGGATTCATGTCTGCTCGGACAATGCTTCACAGCCCTAAGCCAGTAAGAAATACTGCTGAGCTGTGTGAAATTAGCCAGTTTTTTTTTAAAGTGGAAGTTTATTCAGTCAATTGGGAGTTATTTGCACCATTCTGTGGTATATTACCCCTGCTGCTCTGAGATCAAGGCAAGAGTGCTTGTAAGTTTGTCCATTTCTTTTGTGCTAGGGATGGATTCCAGGCCTTTGTACATGCTATGCATGCTCTTTACCCTGGAGCTGGACCTACCAGCCCTAAGGTGGTTTTCATTCTGCAGTTCAGCAGGAGAATTCATGCAGGTCACATTATACAGGATGTAGAATGAAGAGCACTGGGGGCTATAGTAACTGCCTGTGACTGGTGATGCCAGTCCTCAGAGGAACATTGGCCAGAACATATCCTGCCTATTAAGACAGGGACAGCATGTCCTTCCCTTTTCAACCTGACAATGGTCTACCTAGAAAGTAGAACCAAAGGCTCTGGGATAGAAGTTTCCAGGCCTTGTAACCTAAACCTGGAAATCCAAATTACCATACACAGGGAGTATGGGGCCTGAAATAATGCATTTCTAGCAAGTAGTACCCACGTTACTATCCTTGGGCCACACTTGAAGTTACATACTTAAAGTAACAGTTATTAGTGCCTGATACACTGATTATCCAGCAGCAATCCTAACCCCCTCCCCCATGGCACCACATGGTTACAAATGTTCATTCTGTCATCATCCCACACCATACCAATCAAACCCTCCAAGTTTGGGATTTGGCAAGCCTCTGGGTTTTTTTTCTCTTTGTGGTGCTGAGGATGGACTTTGGGCATGCTACGCAAATGATCTATTTCTGAGCCATACTCCCAGTGAAGCAAATTAGTTGTTTGAAGTCTACTGAGGGTTCAAAATCACTGCTCCATATAAATGCTTTCTCTTTTCATTCCTACTGTCAAGGCACATGAATCTATAGAAGTACAACTGCTATGAGGACATGGCTGGTGTATGTAGGGGAGGACATGAATACATCCTTCAGAAGGAGCAATGCATAGCTGTCATTTTGGCATCAAGAGGCCCAGGCTCTAGTTGTGTCTACCACTTAGAATTGCCATGATTCCCCAAACAGTGGTATTGGGTTTTTTTTTCCCTGTGTAAAACAAGCAGCCCTAATACATACCTGTTATATGAAATGACCTTACAAAGTATAAAATGCCATGTAATGAAAAAGATTGCCATTTCGAGAGCTAAGCTATGAACTTTGTGTATGAGGCACATTTAAGTCACTGAAGCAGAAAGCTGTAGTTAGAGGTGATTTCTTTCCCTGAGCTTTCTAAAGTGGCCTGTTTGTATTTTCTCAGCCCCAAATAGAGGAGTGTGAGAACTCACCACCTCAAGCTTCTAAAGCCAACTTCTCAGGAAGCTGGTTTATCACCTGCACTCTACCACAGTAGGATTCTCCCTGCTGCCATAGGATATGAGTGGATGTGTGGCCCATGCTCAAAGGTACCCTTAGGAAAGTAAACAGCTTTTGAGCCTGCTGCCAGATTATCCTAAGCATAAACATCTGAAAGTCTCTATTATAGGACCTCAGTCTATTTTCTTCCAACCAAACTTCTCCAAGAGCTTCTGAAGATTTCTTTGATCTATACTAGTTCTGATCTAAACCTTAATTGCAGTCCCAGAATTCCACCACTGAGCTTGCCTGTACTCAAACAAGACTGGGTCATTAAAATATAAAAACACACTAACATATGCAAATAGTCATGTTTGCATTTGGACTAAGAATCACTGGACCACAAACCGGGTGAGAAAATCCTGTTTTAGATGTCACTGATAAGATTCTAGAGGAAGCTACTCACCAGTCGGGTGTTTACCACAGGAAACAGCAGTGCCAGAAGAGCTCCATTCAACATGTGCATCTGTAACCTAGAAGATAAAAGTAGATCAGGTTCACATATCATGCTCAGACTCTGATGTAAATATAGCAGAACTGCAGGTTAAGCCAGACCATATGGGAAAGAGCTGTGTATCCATGTGACTGTCTGAAAAACAGTCTTAGAGTTTGCACATCTGCCAAGTCAATTCAAAGCAGCATCGTTTGAATTCACTGAAATGTTCTGAAGAGCCCTGTCACTGCTTCAGATAGCCCAGAACACTTCCTGAACACAATTTAGTTACAGCACCTCATTGCATAACAAGTTCTGTGCTCCCTAAACACTCAGGCAAACCTAATCAGCAGCTTCAAGAGCTAATGCATTAGTAAAGGGTGATACAGAACTTCGATGCTCCTTGGTCACAGCAGAATCCAGTTTCTTAGATTACCCTTGTCCATTTACAAAGCTTCAGCCAGTCCTCTTCTCAGACAAAGCACTGGACAGAAAAGGGCTTCAGAGTTTTGTGAACCTTGTTTCCCCACAGGCCAGATATGCCAGCAAGAATTGCTGCTGGTGATAGGGCCATCTGGCACCCCTCCAGGCTTTCTTGGATCTGTTTTATATAATGGGCTCTGTAGCGTAAAAGCAAAAGAAAGCTTAAGACATGGTTCAGTGGTAGAGAACTTGACTAGCATGCATAAGGTCCTGAGTTCCATTCCCAGCATGGGGTGAGGGAGAAGAAGGTGAAGATCATTACGTAGTGATACTGTTTCCTAGATCCAATATCAGACTACTAAAAACCCATCATAAGTCAAGAGCTATTCACTCAGGAACACAGTCTACTTCTGAGAAATTAGAGGAGGGATTTAAACAGCTTTCTTCATCATTCAAGGCAAATTGGTCTTTATTATTGATGGAGACAGAAAGAATGATAGTTTTGTTCCAGCTGAAGAAAAGCTGATTTGATGGTTTAGGACAAAGTCAACGTGCCTCTCACATGATATACAATACTGAAGACATAGTGCCTCACATAATGCTCTCTCTCTCTCTCTCTCTCTCTCTCTCTCTCTCTTTCTCTCTCCTTCCCTCCCTCTTCAACCCTCTGATACACAGAAGTCCCAGCAGAAAAGGACATGCCCTGATGAAGAAGGCAGGCAATATAGTCCTCTTTTGTAAGACTAAGACATTATACAAAGACCCCCAGAGAACTGCCCAGAAGCCCCAAGGCTGCATTTGATATTCCCCAGTGTGTTTGTTCCAGCTATTCTTTATCACCAAGGCCTCTAAAATGGTGATACTGTGTACTTAATATATTCAAGGACAGTATCTAATTAACTGCTTCATATGAACTAGCTCAATTAATTTTTACAAAAATCATTCAAAACAGGTAGAAAGACTCTTCTCACTTTGTTGATAAGGAAATCTAGTTCAGAAAAGTAATTATCACAAAATATCCAAGATCTTCCCCAGGCCTCAAACTCTTACATCCCTCCTTCTGCCTTATAGCTGAGTCACTCTCCTTGTCCTCAGATAGCAAAACACTGATGATCTTTGCTGATCCTTTTAATTGCAGGTTCTCCCCACCTCCTCCTGAATTCCCTGTCCCAGTCTTTTGGATTTTTTTTTTTTTTGGTCAGTCATGGGGCTTGAACTCTGGGCTTGGGCAGTGTCCCTGCACTCTTCAGCTCAAGGCAAGCGCTCTACCACTTGAGCTACAGTGTCACTTCTGGTTTTCTAGTGGTTTATTGGAGATAAGAGTCTCACGGACTTTCTTGCCTGGATTGGTTTTGAACCATGATACTCTCTGCCTCCTGAGTAGCTAGGATTACAGGTGTGAGCACCGGCGCCCGGCTGTCCCAGTCTTATTTCCACTAAAACAACTCAGAAAAAGGTGCTGTGGCTCAAGTGGTAGAACACTACCCTTGAGCAGGGACAGCTCCCACACCACAGTTCAAGCCCCAGGACCCACACACACAAAAGAAAGTAATGAGAAGGCATAACGAAGAATGTCACTCTGCTACCTAAGGCTACTGCACAGCTTCTGGAAGTTCATTCAAGGGTGTACCCAGTAAGTATTGCAAGCATAGGGTGAAGTAGAGGCTAACCTAACCCTGACTCTGGACCCTTCTCTATGCTAGTGACTGCATCAACAGTAAGCCTGGGAGAGAAAAATAATTACATGGATATCCAAGGTGAAGCTGGATTCTGGTGCCACACTTTGCCATTAACCTCAAAGGAATGTTGGCATTTGCACAAGGCCAACTAGATACTTGGGTACGAAAAGTTACATCTTGCAGATGGTGGAATTGATCCTGTTAGAACTAGCTCAGGATGTTGAGGTGTTGCATAGGAATTAGTACATCAACTCAAAAGGAGCTCAACAAGGCGAGGTTTACTTTTGCAGAAGGGTGCACCATCAGCTAAAAATCTGGCAAGCAAGCACACAGAGCAAGGAGGCTGCTCCTTTTTTATCCCTAACCCTGCAAGCCCTGCTCTCTGCTCTGACTGGCTGAGCTCAGGTTCACAATTTGCAAAATGATGTGGTTTAATGAATAGAGTATAACTAAAATTTAAGGAGCGTCTAACAGGATGTCTTAAAGTGCAGCAGGAAAAGGATGTAACTAAAATATAATTAACAAGGGCCAAGGCACCTGGCCAAAGCAAGAAATTTTCCGAAAAACAATTCTAATAAGAAAGGAAGCAAACTATATTATAACTATATTATAAAAAAGACACTTTTCTCATAGTCCAATAGCAATGATAAAGAGGATAAAATCAGTATCAACATTAAAAACAAGAAAATTCCTTGCTGGTAGTAGAGTGCTTTGCTAGCATGCATGAAGAGAAAAAGCTAGAAGTGGAAGTGTGGATCAAGTGGTAGAATGTTAGCTGTGAGCAAAAAGAAGCTCAGGGACAGTGTCCAGGCCCTGAGTTCAAGCCCCAGAACTCACAAAAAGAAAATTCCTACATAAAGGCAACACTTGGCCCACACATAGTACTCATGCCTGCAACCCCAGCTATTCAGAAAGCAAGACCACAATTCTGTAATTATGGGATATTGCTATTATCCAGCCTGGACAAAAAAGGGCAGAAGATATAGCTCAAGTGGTACAGCGTAGCAAATACAAGACCCTGAATTCAAACTTAGTTACTGCCCCCCCCCACAAAAAAAGAAAAGAAAAGTCAAGCCTATTTCTGAGTTCTCAAAATTCAATTATGCCAGCTCCATATATGCCAAAGGGTAGAATGACTGTCTTTAATACGCAAGGAGGTCTTGTATATTAGTCATTACAAAATACCTAACAAAAGGTTGAGGGGTGTGGCTCAAATGTTTGCTTAGCATCAACTAGTCCCCAGCCCTATCACATTCAAAAAAATCTAACACATAATGAACATTTCTACATACAAATCACTGGGCAGGATATTCAAATGTATCATCTCATTCAATTCTCATCATTTTTTATTACAATGATCTTCATTTCATATGAAATCCAAGATCACAGATAATAAGAGAAGGAGGGAAGAAGGAAAATGAATGAATGGAACAAAAGAAAAAACATAACAAAGGAATCATGCCAGAGAGACAAACTTAAAAAGGAGAGAGGAAGAAGGGAAAGGGGAGGGGAAAGAAAGGGATGGGAGGGGCAGAGATGGGAGAAAAAGGCTTTAAGTAGACTTGCTAGCCTTTCAGACTGTAGAAGTGTGCTCTTCCCCAAAGGGCTACTCATAGATAGCAAGGGCTAAGTTAGAGTTGTGATGTTTATATGCAAACTAACCAGCCCACAGCCAGACTTCCTCCACCTGACCTTACACTAAAAAGGCAATACTCCTCTACATTACTCATCTCAGAGCCAGGTACCAGGTAACTAGGAATATCTCCCTGAGTTTAGAGCCTATGGAAATAATTCAAACTAGACAAGTATGAACTCTTTACCCAGCCCTACTTCTCTCTCATGGAAGCTTCAATAAGGATGGTGGCCTAAACCTTCCCCTTCTGCCTCCAGTCTTTCCCATCTTGATGTCTTTCCCATATAACCCTGCTTAGAGTTCCAGATCCCTGTGAGTATAACCAACTTTGTTTTCCTCAGCTTTACTTCTACCACCTCTTAGGGATATACCTAACTGATCATCACATAGAAGAATACAAAACTGCCATTACTACTCTCACAAATATTTCCTGTAAGTAATTTTAGTTTTATATAAGCTACTGTGCTCAGTTGGCTTAGTCAGTAAGAACATGTAACTTCAAATAAAGATATCAATTCTCATGAATATAATCTAGACTCAGAACAATTTAATTTTGTCTACAGAGATAAACTGAATCCAAAGTGTATATGGAAGGGCAAAGAAATAGGAGTAGCTGAAGTAATTTTGAAAAGAAGATAGATGAAAAAATCATACTACCTGATTTTAATGCTTACAGTAAAGATAGAATGAGCAAAGTAATGTGGTCTTGGCCAAGAATTGACACATCATTCAATGGAACAGAATACTATAGTCAAACCAACACTGATAGGGTCATTTGACAACAGTGCAAATGATATTGTAGAAATTAGATATCCATATGTAATATAGTGTACACACATAAGCTAAACCTCACACCTTATATAAAGGCTGTCATAAATCTAAATAAAAATGTAAAGCTATACAATTTTAGGAGAAAAATCTTCAATCTTAGGAAAGTAATTCTTTGACATAACATAAAAAATGCATACAGAAAAATACAATAAACAATCAAAATTTAAAACTGAATCTGAAAAATGCTTGTAAAGATAAATAAAGCGAGAGAAAATGTGTACACTTGAATCTTCAAACTCAACAATTAAAAAATCAATTTAAGCCGGGTGCTGGTGGCTCACGCCTGTAATCCTAGCTACTCAGGAGGCTGAGATCTGAGGGTCATGGTTCAAAGCCAGCCCGGGCAGGAAAGACCGTGAGACTCATATCTCCAATAAACCACCAGAAAACCGGAAGTGGCGCTGTAGCTCAAATGTTAGAGCGCTCGCCTTGAGCTGAAGAGCTGAGGGACAGTGCCCAGGCCCAGAGTTCAAG